AACAAGAGGATAAGAAATGAGACAGAATCTTGTGGCCTATCTGTCAATTTCGCCTGTTTTGTAATTGTTTGTTTGACTCATGAATTCATTTACTCTGAGACCGACTGCGGTGAGTACTTTTTTTGAGACCGACTATTTTTTTGCCATGAGGGAAAAACATTTCATAGAACAACATACTCACAACAGAATAAGAGTGAAAAACATTTTTTCAAACATGCCAAGCAGACATGGTTATTTTATACTATAGTTTTGTGTGACGTATGCAATTTAGGCTCACGGATTCACACAAATACATAGTATTTGGGATCTATTCTGGCATTGTTTGTTTGCCTCATTAATTTATTGAGTTGCCGATGCATAATTTTGAGACCGACTGCAGTGACCGCACTTATTTTGAGACCGACTATTTTTCTCCCTGGGGGAAATTTTGTTCATAGACAAACAAACTCACAACAGAATAAGAGTGAAACACAACATTTTTTCAAACATGATAAGTTGACAAGGTTATTTTATACTAAAGTTTTGCGTGAGTAGCGTGACGTATGCAGTGAACTCTTATTTTGATACCGACTGCTCTTATTTTGCGACCGACTGCACTGATTTTGTGACCGACTATTTTTCTTCCGGGGGGGGGGGGGGTACTCCGCACACCCCCACATTTACGCCCCTGCATCTAACTATGTTAATTCTACTATTCTGCCCTCTGCCAAGGCAGCGGCTGAACTCATGTGAGTCCATACGCCGGTCTCTCCGTCCCTCTCTGCTCGGTCTCTCTCTAGTCGTCGTTAGTTCTCTTTTTCACTGTCAGTAAACTCCTCAATTATACCGTCGGACGATAGACGACATATTATGGTCATACATGCAATTGTCTCTTTTATCTCATCACGGCATGCTTATTTACTGACCAGTGCATAGTCCTTTGAAGTAAAGCGGAATGTGTGCACAAATCATATGTAGCTTGTAACGGACATATTGAATTAATTACATGTTTAATTACAACACAGACAATCGTGACTTAAGTACAGTGCATACAGAGTTAAAAGGTCAATATTATATATATTATCAAGAAGCATGGCTAGAGGTCATTAAGTTCTAAGCACCTAAATGACCGTTCAAAAAGTACTTTGTTACACATGAAGTATTATTTGATAGAAGGGAAGTAGCATTATTTAGGTATTCAACACAACGCACCGCAAAACCCTGTAAGGTATGTCGCAATGGCTATAGTAGGGGTCATTATTTTGGCTATAAAACCGTAACGTAAGCGGTCTCCTAGTTTAAACCAGCGCGCCTACCATGGTCGAAGCGATATCAATGTGGAGTTATTTGCTGAATAATGCTATGTGTATTATAACAATATATGAAACATATTAAAATAAACAACTTTAAAATCAACCCTTGCCCCAGCTCAAAAACTAAATACATGAGCCAAGAACAAACAAGTCAGATATGTGTTGCTTGATTTTATAAATGTATTTCTGTGTAATTAGGTCCGTATTCAAAGGATATCTTAAGTCTAAGATAGTCACTTAACTACTACTTAAATATACGTATCTTCCTGTAAGTTAAGGGTAAGTGGTATTCAAAGGCAGTGTTAAGTATAAGCTTTCCCCTTAAGTTAAACTCCCTTAACTTTTAAGAGTTTAGTCTTTTAGCGGTATCCAAAGGCCAGTTTAAGTGAGATTATAATGACTTCTTTTAACCGGAGTACACAATGTAGTAGCAGGCCCGTAATGGCGATTTTAAAAATTAGGGGATTGAGATTGAACCAAAGACAATGTGGCTGAGCGTTGCTGGCCGCAAACGTTTTTTTTTCATTATCAGCTTTGATTTTGTAGAGCCATAATGGTGTATAATGCTACTACCACCGAAATGGTCATATTATAAAGATTGATGCGTTAAATTTATTGGTAAATTTGACATTGCGATGACATTCAATTGTAGATTTTAGCAAATATTAATACGACCGCGAGAAGCATGGCACGGTTTATATTTTACAATTCATTCCCATATACATATTTGATGTTGATTGCTACACGTTCTTGTCTTCGTTTGTATAAATTTACAAATATATGATGATGACTGCTGACCGAAGCGTGTCACCAATGATTTACAATTAATTTCTTGTGTTACCTATTGCGTTTTAATCGGTAGTATTCATTCGGGAAGAAAAAAGCGCCACGTGCATCTTTTGTTCACGCAATGTACCATTACGTCATGGCCAGGCCTTTGGGATTCTAAAGTGTAGGAACTGACACAATTTATATGAATTTCTCAAATGATAGATTGATAAAAAAAACCCGAATGATTTTTTGAATCTTAACTTTAAAGCCAAAAGCCCTACGTATTGCTAATTATGTATTTTTTTTATTTGTTATACCTTGCTAAAATAATAAAGTTTACAATATCCACCATTATACCACCACTAATCGATAACTGTTGTTGAAATCTATTGTTTTTGCAAAAACACCTAAGGAAACATCTGTTCCGGCAACCGATGCGTACTATCATAATATATCATAAATATAGTCATACTATTTTTGTGTGTTACAATATAATATTTCGACAAACATGTTCCTAGTAATGACAACATTGACAACTAAGAATTTAATAGAGTATGTGGTGCTCTTAACGGGACATAACTTGCATGTGACGTGAGTAATTCGTTATTTTTGGCAGTGGAGGTTATTCCATAAGTTACAAATTCATGATTGTTGACTTATGTTGGTATTCCATATTTAAGTGTGCAGTTAAGTTTTAACATAGCCAAGTATATGTAAACAGAGCCTTTGAATACCGATTTAAGGTAAGACACTTGGTTAAGTGAAAAAAATTGTTACTTATTGTTACTTAACTTTAAGAAAACCTTTGAATACGGACCCTGCACTACTATGCACCTCCCCAACAGTCATTGTTGCATTCCATAGATTCATTTAAATTGTACACAACATTGAACAAAACGCATGCATTATTACAAGGATAATTGAAGGAATGACTATAATATACTATTCAAAAAAAGTAGGGGATATTTGATTTTTAAGTGTTATTAAAGTCACCTAATGAAACTGACGAAGAAACAAATGACAAAATGAAATGAAGTTCACATTCATCGATTTATTCCAAATGATCGTTAGACTAAGTAAGGCACAGACTGACCATTATAAGGGTAAAATGATACCCGGGGTCAAACAGCAAAGTTACCACAGCATCACAACCAAGTCAGTAACGGGTAAATCCTCCTCTGTTTGCCAAACAAGCATTGATCCGACGTGGCATACTCCTAATGAGACGTCTAAGGTCATTTTGGTCCAGATTGTCCCATTCCTGTTGCAACGCAGCAGCAAGTTCTTGGACATTGGCAGGACGTTGTTGACGTTGACGTAACCTCTGTCCAAGCATGTCCCAGACATGCTCGATGAGGGAGAGGTCGGGACTCAGTGCTGGCCAAGGTAATGTGGTGATGTTCTGTTGTTGGAGGTAACCTGTAACGATCCTGGCCCTGTGACATCTTGCGTTATCATCCTGGAAGATGAAACGGCGGCCATGACGTCGTGCGAACGGCACAACATGGACTGCCAAGATGTTGTCCCGGTAGTACTGGCCTGTAACACGCCCTGCAACAACATGTAAAGCCGTTCTTCCAGCAACAGTGATGCCTCCCCACACCATAACAGAACCACCCCCAAATCGATCATGTCTGATGACGTTAACGTCTTGGAAGCGCTCGTTTCGACGACGCCACACCCTCCTACGTCGGTCCAAAAAATCAACAGTGAACCTTGACTCATCTGAAAACATCACATTGCTCCAGCGTCGATTATCCCAGTGTTGACGATTCCTACACCAACGACGTCTTGCCTGAATGTGATGATCTCTTAAACAAGGGATCACGCGAGGACGTCGGGCGCGAAGGTGACCACTATGCAGTCGATTCCGAATCGTCTGGCCACTCACTCTCACACCAGTGTCTGTTTGAAGACGAGCGCTGATCTGATTTGCTGTGATGACACGATTTCTCAAGGCCAAGGTACGGATAAATCGCCCTTGGTCGACCTGAGCGTGGTCTGTCCTGTACAGATTGTGTATCACGGTATCTGGACCATAGCCTGCTTATGACAGACTGAGAAACATTCATCGTCCGCGCCACAACCGCATGTGTTGTGCCGATCTGTAGCATGCCAAGGGCACGTAACCTTTCATTTTGGGTAAGCCGACGCATATCAAAATTTGTTTTCTGGTCACTAAAACAATTAAACTGATGTTTCCACCCTGGAATTCAATGCCACAATGACTGTAACATTCAAAGTCAGAGTCGTGCAAATCTTGGGTTGGACCCCCATGATGATCCCAAGCATCACTTGCATTCCATGCGGTAGCTATTGGTGCGTTTGGGCGTCACATGTAACTGGAAATGTTTCTTCTGTTAGGTTCTATATTGACTTTTTTCGTAGTCATTTGCATATTTTAGTATTATGCCCCCAAAATCAAATATCCCCTACTTTTTTTGAATAGTATAGATTGATTTGATCAACCAATGAGTGTTGTGATCTTGGTAACCCCTTTTTACGTAACATATTCTGTACCAATCTGTTTTACAGACCTAATTCGACATCCGTCTTTTATCTCTGTCCAAGATGAATGACCTTTAAAAGGTCCGACCGCTGTAGTTCTAAGGGTGACGTCACATCACAATGCTTACCAACAAAGCAAGATGGCATCGATAACGCCAAAAAAGATTACTTCTGTGGCTTGTTTTTGTTCGTTTTAAAACAAACACGAGCAGGTCAATCAGATTAGGAAGTAAAAAATGTACTTCTGAAAGAATTCAGAGTAAACAAACAGAAACAATGTCAAATTGATGGTCACACGTGCGTTGTTTACATCGAACGTAGTAATATGAACTGGTACGGGCAGAATTATATCGTTTTACCCATTTTACGCCTCCGCGTACTATTTTCTGTACCTATTTACGCTAAATATGGAATATTTTTTTATCAAGATATACTTCAAACACCTTTATTTATTTTTCTAATACTAAAAAAAAATGTTTCAGAATTTAATTTGTCAAAAGAAAAAAAGTTAATATTTTGTAGTCATTAAGTCGCATCGATGTCATCCTTATCAGTGATTGTAGCGGCCAAGCGAATATTCACTGCGGATCAGTGTGATTCTGTACCTGGACAATAATTGTACAACCATAGATTATCTGCACCTCTCTCTTATCAATTAACAAATACCAATGTGTTTTCTTTAAAAATGTGTTTTCTTTAGAAATAATTTATTTCAAGTATTCTTTATTTCATTTCATATAATCGTCGGATAAATAAATCAAAACATGGATTCCAAATGGCAATTAAACAGATATTGATATATATCAACACAAAGCTAATTACTTTAGTAACTGATTCTTATCGGCTATGGCCTCTATCCGTAACTGCCTCGTCATATACACAACTTATATGAAAATAAGGCTTTTCCCCCATCTCGGTTCTAAGGCTATTTTGGAATCCCTAACCTCCCTTTTCTACATGATTCTTCTTTGTTCGCCAAATGGGATCATATCTTGCCACATTCGACACAAATTTATAATAATCCAACACTATTTTGATGTAGAATTGAGCGATCCAAAATCACAAACAAAATTCGTTTGAAATGATCCGCCCTTATGAAACTCACGCCTGCACTCGGCCAATATTCAAAATTTAGGAATGGAATGTTATCGTGAACGAAAATTCTTGCTGTATTTCAATAATGTATTAATCGATTTTGTGTAATAATGTTTTACGTATGTAGAATACATAGACTTTAGTGGTATCTATATTGACAGTTTTGCCCGTTACTTGAAGTACAGCAAGAATGTTCGTTTACTGTAACATTCCATTCCTAAATTTGGAAAATTGGTTGAACACAGCTGAAGCGATTAAGCTTGGGTGCCTCTCTCTAAAATGCTGGCGGAATCCACTAGAGGGCCAAATTCAAAATGGCTCCCAGATTTGGCGGGAAAATATAAAATTATTTAATATATATAGGCTTTCGACGTGTCTATTCGTATGTTTTAAGGGTCTCTGAAACGAAATCCATCAGGCCACTAGTTTTGTCAATATGGCCGAACAATCCAAGATGACCACCATTTTTTACCTGGAAAATAGTTTTGTCAACTATACGCCAAATTGTATGTTTTCGGGGTCGAGGTATTCAATTATGATGAATTTGTGTCGATATATTCAACCGGCAATAAGAGTGCGAGAAATGAAGGGACTCACCGATATTTACAACCTGATATACTCTATAATCAGATGATTTTAATTTAATGAACTCTTGATAATGGATCCATTTAATATTTAATCATGCACGATAATCGACATCATCAACTTATCCACTTAAAATTAAAGTGTTACTCGTCAGAATCACAGTCATCCGATTTAAAAGATAGATCCAGTTCCAATTGTTCAGATTCAGATTGTTCCTCCGAAGTTGAAGTTACGTCGGAATGTTCATCACTTGCGCTATCGCTGCCATGAACAAGTAAATCACTGACACGCACTGTCCAGATAGGAGCAGTTTCCAACCATTACCAATGGGAGAGTATGTGATCTTAGACTTTGAGTAATTAAGCATTAAATATGCCCGAAAAGTCGCTCTGGTGAGTTTAAGTTTGTAATACTCCTCAGGCGGTGGTAGCCGGTGAAAGTTTTTTCGTTTAATGCTTGACCATTTCTTGGCTCTCGCTGTCAGTGATATGCTTTGAAGATGGTTTCTGTATAAAAAAAAAACGCTTGAGGAATCCGCTAGAGGGCTAAATTCTAAATAGATGCCAAATTTGGCGCTACAAATATAAAATATCTAATATAGGCTTCTGAGGCCATTATTCCTATGTTTTAAGGGTCTCGGAATCGAAATATAATATCAAAAATTCATCTGGTCACTAGTTGGGCCAATATGGCAGACAAATGCAAGATGGCCGCCATTTTTTGCTGGGATTTTATTTTTTTCAACTATGCTCAAGTTTCGTGACAAATTGTATGTTTTCAGTGTCGAGGAATTCAATTTTAGCTCGTTTTCGTTGATTAGAGTGATAGTTACAAATTAATTAAAGAGCTACAGTGAGGGTATATTCCCATCAAATTAGCCGCAGCCATAATTATGGCCATAATTCAGGAAATTACAATTCGATATGCGCAAATATCGGAAAAAAACGAGATCTTTGAGTTATAAAATTACATTTCAAGTTTCAACAAAATCGGATAAAAATTGTGACCTATATTTTTACGCAATTTGAGAACGAGGGGCGGTCATTTTGTCTGTCAGTTTTGGGCCGATTTTCACGAAATTCGAACTCAGCCGTTCTTAGGGTGTAACGGTGATAAAAATTATGACCTCTATAGTGTCCACAAGCTAAAAACGTGATTTTTTGTGCAATCAGGGGCCATAATTCAGGAAGTTACGGTCCGATATGCGCGAATATCGAAAGGAACCGAGATCTTTGGGTTATAAACTTACATGTCAAGTTTCAACAAAATCGGATAAAAATTGTGACCTCTATAGGGCCCACAACCTTGATATACCATATTTTTTAACGCTATTTGAGAACGAACGGCGGCCATTTTGTCTGTCAGTTTTGGACCGATTTTCACGAAATTCGAAATCAGTCATCCTTAGGGTGTAACGGTGATATAATAATAGTTTTTTTTTAAATCGGATAAAAATTATGACCTCTATAGAGCCCACAAGCTAAAAACGCGATTTTTCGAACAATCAGGTGCGATAATTCAGGAAGTTACGGTCCGATATGCGCGAATATCGCAAAGAACCGAGATCGTTGGGTTAAAAACTTACATTTCAAGTTTCAACAAAATCGGATAAAAATTGTGACCTCTATAGGGTCCACAACCTGGATATACCATATTTTTACGCTATTTGAGAACGAACGGCGGCCATTTTGTCTGTCAGTTTTGGGCCGGTTTTTACGAAATTCGAAATCAGCCATCCTTAGGGTGTAACGGTGATATAATAATACGATTTTTTAAATCGGATAAAAATTATGACCTCTATAGAGTCCACAAGCTAAAAACGCGATTTTTCGAACAATCAGGTGCCATAATTCAGGAAGTTACGGTCCGATATGCGCGAATATCGAAAAGAACCGAGATCGCTGGGTTATAAACTTACATTTCAAGTTTCAACAAAATCGGATAAAAATTGTGACCTCTATAGGGTCCACAACCTTGATATACCATATTTTTACGCTATTTGAGAACGAACGGCGGCCATTTTGTCTGTCAGTTTTGGTCCGATTTTCACGAAATTCGAACTCAGCCGTGTAACGATGATATAAAAATACGTTTTTTTTAAATCGGATAAAAATTATGACTTCTATAGGGTCCACAATCAGGGGCCATATGCGCGAATATCGAAAGCATACATTTCAAGTTTAAACCAAATAGGATAAAAATTGTGACCTCTACAGTGTTCACAAGCTAAAAACGTGATTTTTCGTACAATCAGGGGCCATAATCCATGAAGTTACGGTCCGATGCATGCCAATATCGAAAGGAACCGAGATCTTAGGGTGATAAACCTATATTCCAAGTTTCATTGAAATCGGATAAAAATTGTGACCTGTAGACTGTTCACAAATAATTGGGGACGGACGGACAGGGGCGACGACAATATACTTCCACATGAAAATGTGGGCGTACAAAAAAACCTTTCGCCAGCTACAACCTAATGAGGAGTCTTGCAAACTTAAACTCACCAGGACTACTTTTCGGACATATTTAATGCTTAATTACTCAAAGTCTAAGATCACACACTCTCCCATTGGTAATGGCTGGAAACTGCTCCAATCTGGACAGTGCGTGTCAATTAGATATGAGAATAAAGCAGCATTACCAGGATGTTTAAGCGACTTACTTGTTCATAGCAGTGATAATGCAAGTGATGACGATTCCCACGTAACTTCAACTTCGGAGGAACAATCTGAATCTGAATAATCAGAAATGGATCGATCTTTTAAATCGGGTGACTATGATTCCGACGAGTAACACTTTCACTTTAATTGGATAATTTAACGTCGATTATCGTGCGTGATTAAATATTACATGGATCCATTATCAAGCGTTGATTAAATTAAAATCAGTTGACTACAGAGTATATCAGGTTGTAAATATCGGTGAGTCCCTTCATTCCTTTCACTCTTATTGCTGGTTGTCATATATCGACACAAACTCATCATAATTGAATACCTCGACCACGAAAACATACCACTTGGGTATACAAATGTAGTTGACAAAACTATTTTCCAGATCAAAATGGCGGCCATCTTGGATTGTTCGGCCATATTGACAAAAGTAGTAGCCTCATGGATTTTTGACTATGATATTTCGTTTCAGAGACCCTTAAAACATACAAATAAACACCTCAGACGCCTATATTAAATAATTTTATATTTTCCCGCGAAATCTGGAAGCCATTTTGAATTTGGCCCTTTAGCGGATTCCGCAAGCGTTTTAGAGAGAGGCACCCAAGCCTTATCGCTTCAACAGGTTTTGCCATATAGAAACCACCTTCAAAACAACTTCCCCGAAAATTGGTCACGGATTTTAGGTCTCGTACTCAACTATATAGACGGTAAGGATTCCAAAACAGCCTTAGAACCGAGATGGAAGGGGGGGCTTTTATCATATTAGTTGAGTATAGGATGAGGCAGTAACGGGTAGAGGTCAAAGCCGATAAGAATCCGTTACTAAAGTAACTAACACAAAACAAGCTCGTGAGAAAGTCATTAATTAAATTACCGTCGAAGGTGCATCCTACATAACACGATGACGATAATTGTATGCATCTTTTTAATATTAATTAAACTTTAATCAATTTACGTTAAATTCACGTAAATTTCCAACGTGAAGGTAACGTAAAATTAACACTACTTTCTGACGTAAACATACCGTAAATATACCGTTGCGTTTGAGTTAGATTAACGTACATATCCGACGTCGAAAATATACGTCGTGCGTAAATAGACGTAAATATGACAAAGAAATATGGTAAACAAAACGTTAACTTTGGACGTAAACCCATGAGCAAAATATAACCAAACGATCATTTTAATCTAAATCTGTCCTTAAATTAACACCATATTCCGCAGCGCAAGTATACCTAACCTTTTGAAAACCTTTATTTGTGGTTGTAAATTGGACATTCGGTCAACAAATAACTGGATATTATTTACGTCATATGTCTACCGTAAAAGTAACCATAACCACGATAAATTAAATTAACCTACATTTAATAGCAAAGTGTTACCATTATCGAAAGCGAACCACACTCTAACCACGATGACGCAATATTCATATCTCGTATCAACACCACCTTAGCTGAGTGAATTTATCAAATAAGTATTGCTACCAATGAGCTGTATTCAAAACAACTGGAACAGAATAAAAAGAAGTGCATCCGACTTTTACAAACCGAGCTATCTCGTATTATGCAAATTTTCACCAAGGATATTTAATCGAAAAATCGAAATGCGTTTCACACAATTAAAATCGCAATTCTGAATCATCAATATATGCACAATTGATATTTTAAATAATATTGACAGTACACAAAACAGTTGATCATCATTATCGCGGACTACCAATTACATTAAATATCGTCATTAATAAGGCAAAGAGTTGTTATTGCTCCGTCGAAATATACAATAAAACTAAATCTGTACAGGAAATTAACATCATTTTGGGTGATGCGTGCCAAATAGCTTTATTTACGGTCCGCTTCGACCGATGTCTTATCACCGAAGAGATAACATCGAATCAGCTCTATCATAACACCCATTACCAACAGGAAGGCTACAACAACAAACCCAATAGCAGTTTTCCAAACATCTTCACAATCACTATAACACCCTGTAAATTGAAACGTGGACAATCATAACACCATACTGGCTATACTTTGAATTTGACCATAAAATGATCGACGTCAACGCATTTATCATACAATATCTAATTTTGCACGGATTAATCCTATTAACATGTAATCAAAAAACAATCTGTGTTTTAATCAAATTCGTTTCGTCTTTTATAGTTCAAAATTTCGTTTAACATGTCTTTCTAATCGGGTCAAAAGCTACTAGTATGACCCATGACGCGACTTATCGCTACAACTGATCAGATCTTCATGTAGTGTAGGCAATCGAAAGTATAAAAAACGAAACAAAATATAGATCTGTATTTTAATCAGGTTGATCAAAAAAAAAACCAGAAAAAAAACCTAATATTAACTAAGTGTCCCGTGCTAAAAGTTAAATCTACCTACATCAAAAGATTTTTTTTTCAAAGTCAAATGAAAGATCAGTAGTAGAGTAGTAGAAATAAAATGGGGTTTAACTTTCTACTGTTCTGCTCCCACTGCGCTAATGAAGACGCGCATAGGCCACACCGTGCGCAATGTGGAAAATTTTACTATGCCCTACTCTTATTACGAATTCCAACTGCCAATATTGTAATATCAACAATTTTGAACTTGTATATAATACAAATAGGCATGATGTTGTTATGATGAATTCGTCATTAAGATTTTGACAATCATCAGCTTTTACAATATCAACCATAGTTTGAATAAGTTAAATATTTTAAAAATGGTTGTTATTGACAAAATTCTTTCAAAAATGTGTCTAAAACGGAGTCAATTGTGTTCTATGGTTTTTAGGTCCAAATATAGGTTCTGTGTCTATTTCAAACTGTTCTATACAAATATTTACCTATTCCTCTAGAAACAAAAACAGTACAGGTTATTGCAGCAGCTAGAAGTACAACATTAATGCATACTAATGCCACATCTAAGATAATGCTCCACCTTTCACCTACAATTAAATAAAATCATAACACGTGGAAAAAAGATATTCTCGTTGCATTTATATGTAAAATTGGCGTTTATCAAATAATAAATAAGAATCGATATTTTAAATAATCAATAATTACCTGGATACTTGAAATGTAGGATTAATAATACAACCACAATTATGATCAGAACAACTATAACTGCTATCGTTGGGATATAAACGTTGCAGGTAAAGGAATCTACAAATACAACGTTTCTTTTTATTATCTTTTTGCTGTTTTGAAATGTTACTGTCGTTATAATTGATTTCTAAATAAATACAACGAGACGCCTAATAGCTATTTGATTGTTACAAATCTAAAAAAAAGTCGATTTGATGGGATAATCTGTTTGAAGTTACAATTAAATCACTTGGGATAATCTGTTTGAAGTTACAATTAAATCACGTGATTGATATGGCTAACGTGACAAATAGTGGGGGGATAAGGAGTAGCCTTTTTTACGGATCATACGTCTGTTATGTCAACAGGACATAATTAAAATATTTAAATAAAATAATAATAATGAATAAACAACATCAGGAATTTCATACTGAGACTGACCCATACACTTACCGTATATGGACGAGTACTACTCCATAAAGTTGTACGGCAAGCCAGATTTTATCTGTATTTAAGGTATGTATGTATATCAAAATGTGTCACAAAATATTTTACATAACCTACTTTTCAAATGTATATTATGATACTATAATATTTACCACCCACAAGCCTGGGTTCGATAACAGGTTAAAATCAGCTGATTACCTTCAGTGGTTGTGGTTAATGAATCTGAAATAGTTTCAAATTGCGTGACTTAATATGCAAGACAACCATAATTGGAAAAATAATATATATCCAAATTCAACATTACACCATTCGTACTGTATTTTATCTGTATTTAAGGTATGTATGTATATCAAAATGTGTCACAAAATATTTTACATAACCTACTTTTCAAATGTATATTATGATACTATAATATTTACCACCCACAAGCCTGGGTTCGATAACAGGTTAAAATCAGCTGATTACCTTCAGTGGTTGTGGTTAATGAATCTGAAATAGTTTCAAATTGCGTGACTTAATATGCAAGACAACCATAATTGGAAAAATAATATATATCCAAATTCAACATTACACCATTCTTACTAATTAAATGTTTTCAGCTTTCAAGTAAACACCGAAGGTTTGCATAGTCTTTGTTTCGTTGTGTCTAATATACACCGAGAAAAGCATTATTGCAAAATCCGAATATTTCCTCATTCTTTAAGGCTATCACATTTTGTTTTAGATTGATTGTTGTTTGTATTGGAACCTGTTTTACGTTTATAAGATTCATACGTACAATCAATTAAATGGCTTTGTCAAATTTTATTTTATTTTCAGCATTTGGTTGATTACTATCATCACTTACATAGTTTGAAATCTCACACGGACTAATTCCATACGTTAATTCTGACAGATCACATGATAGGGTCTTATCTTTCCAGTCCGATACCGTGTCCATCTAACAAGCACCACGCAAAGGTACGGATACTTCTGAGTATGCGCGTATAGCAATTAGTTATTATACATATCTCCAAAACTGTCTACGGATCAGGCCCGTAACTAGCAGCCCCGCACCCGGGGAAAAAATTATCGACCATTAAAACAATAGATATATATTGTCCGTCAATTTTACAGCACCCCTGATAACACTTCCCGCCCCCTCCTTGCTCTGAGCTAGTTACGGCCCTGCTACGGATATAAACAACAATTAGAACTTACCAGGAAACGATACCGTATATGTATCATTTAATCCTTCACCGTAGTTCGCTCTGAATGTAACGTTAAAATATGCTGTAATATTTAGTATTTCTAACTTGTATATGTGGCCGTCATCTTCACAGTAGAAGTCAAATCCCTCTGTTGGAAATGGTATTGTCTTACACTCCTTTCCTGATGCACTGATTTCAGAGGCTTGTAAGTAGACACCGTCTCTGTACCAATTTACCTTACTTTCAATAGTATCAAGCTTAACAGTTATGTTAAATGGACCATTATGGGGTACTGGCGTCTTGAAGATGATTTCACTGTAGACATGTACTGGAAATCATTAGAAAATGAACATTCAAATTAAATCAGTATATACCACCAACCCGTTAATAATCAACTAATTATATGAAACTCGTAAACCAACAGGCACATACTCACATAACATTATAAAATAAACACATACTCACTTAACATTACAAAATAAACGATTAAACGAAAAACTCTAAGTCGCCACATTGTAGTTATTCAATCGATGTGTCGTATTGCTTAGTGTCCGCGCCCTTGTACCAGATTTGTAACCCCTGCTTACTCTAGCAATCCATTGTTCCTACACGGCGTTATTGACACTATTGGCTGTTCAGTGTATTTTATTCAATACTATATAATATTAACACCGAATGCTATAAGACTAGTTATACTCACAATGTATTGTAAATTTCGGTATGAACATAACCAACAACAAACATGGATATAACACCCATATTTCTACTCATAGCTTCTTGGACTCTACTGAATTGCGGTACGTATTATATAATATTGTAAAGTTTATTTTACTCGATCTGTAATACGGATATAACTGGTAAAATTTAACAGATTAGATTTCACCCATATGTCTACTCATAGCTTCTTGGGCTCTACTGAATTGTGGTACGTATTATATAAAATTGTAAAGTTTATTTTACTCGATCTGTAATCGAAGAGGGTACAACTGGTCAAATTTATCAGATTAGATTTCACAGCAGAGTGCATATTTCCATAGTAACCAGAATCAATTAATCTGCCTTTTCTTTATTTATTTCGTTAAATAAATCTAGGAAAGTGGAAAGGAAATCGGGAATTGCAAAACGGTCCACGGGAACGGTTTTAGATACTCGAACCCCTATGGCCCATGTGGTAATCTTTACCATAAACCCTATTGCTCAGTGAGTAAAACGTTGCATCCCTAACCAGTGTTGGTCGAGAAGATTACTCAGAATTTACCGGTGTGGACCCCCCTCTGTCAGTGGTGCAGGACAGAGGGTCTGACGAGCTACACATTGGCATGCACCTAAACGAACCATTGGTATTTGGAATTGTTTGGGTACTCATAGAAAGCACACTGTGTGGCGTATGACCGTCTTCATTCATTTCATCTTATTTCGAACCCCTTTGATATTCAGTCTGTCATCAGTAACCTCCTTGACCAGGCTAAAATTTTAGGATGTCTACATTGACTCTCAAGAACTATCCCTCCTTCAAAATTCAATGAGTCTTGACAGAAACGGCATCGATACACAGACGGTTAAGGATGCATTATGTAAGACTAAATCTACCTATTGCAGTTCATTTTTTTGGCTTCAAATATTATATAATTTATTATTTAAAAAGTTATTTACATGACAAACTAATAATAAACTTTTAGGCCATCGGTTGGCTGTGATATCGATTTGAACACATATGTGATTTAATCGATAAACGCTAAAACAGACAATCGAGCCTTCTCGAGTTTATTACCATAGCAATGACAACCGCAGATATACGTCACAGCATCACAAATGTCTCGGCACCAGGCGAACCCTCCCCCTTAGGTGCCTAAAGTTTGGTCAGCCTCTGGATAAAATATAAATGTACATTGCTTAGCGTTTACATAACTACTGAACCAATATATATTTCGGTATAAATATTTGGGTAGTATATTGCCCTAAATTCAAAACCATTCATAACACAAGTACAGCAATGCAATATATCAAAATTAAGCGAGTAAATGTTTTGTAGACTTCCTGTACATCACGAACACAATCACGGGCAGATATCTAAGACGGCCACGGATATAGCTTATGGAAGATCAAACAGCTCTTTATTCAGTGTTTTAATTCTTAGTTCTTCATTCATAGTCCTTAATTTTGTTGTTGTCGTATTTCTACATTTGTACACTAAAATTGGTTTTACATATCAGACATTTGTGATATCAGATTTGTAATATGTATTTTTGTTTAACTTAAACATACCTTATGCAAGAGCTAAATCTGCCTATTACGGGTCTTTCATTAGGCCTGAAATGTTATCTAAATTATTAAATAGATATTAATTAATGTTTCCAGACCATAATCAACTCCCGATGGCATCGCTAGCCTGTGATGTTTATTGGATTACGTTCCGATTTGCTGTTCGACTTCCATTCATAATTAAATCAAAAAATGGATAATCGAGACTGTTTTTTATCCTACCGACTATAGTAATGATGATCGAGGCTAGCCCCAATATTCAATCACTAAAATCTCGGTTCATAGTGGATCAATTTGACTGAAATTTTCAGCATAATCTAGTTGTTAACTATTATAGTGAGAACTGCCAGCTCTTTATCTAATCTCCCATTAAGTATCTTTAATTGTATCTTAATATAAAGATACAATTTATTTTAGAAAATCAAAAAAAAATAGCCTACATTTACATTTCATCATAGACATACAACAAAAAACAAACCTCGAACAACAAATTTCCAAATACAAATCTTGCAAAACATTTCTCAAAAAACATTTCTCGAAGTCTATCGAACCGGAATATTTTGACGACATGAGCGGAAATCAACCTGGCATAGAACAAGTCACCATACAACAAAGGAGAATCTAGCAAGCATATATACTATAAAAAATCGCTCGATGACCGTAACTTTAGTGAAATCCCATGCGCGTTGTGTTCATACATATATTGGTTAATCTGATCTAGCATTAAATAAAAAACAAATGAAAGTAGTCTATTTTTAGTAATTAGATTAATTTTTAATAGCGACATATTACTTTGGAAAAACGAACCAGCGGCTGCCAGGCAGGATACGCCCACATTTTCGAGAGATGGATAGAGAACAAGCTAAAAATAAAGTGATTTTTCGTACAATCAGGGGCCATAATTCAGGAAGTTACAGTCCGATATGTGCTAATATCGACGGGAATCGAGATCATTGGGTTATAAACTTACATTTCAAGTTTCAACAAAATCGGATAAAAATTGTGACCTCTATAGGGTCCACAACCTTGATATACCATATTTTCACGCTATTTGAGAACGAAGGACGGCCATTTTGTCTATCAGTTTTGGGCCGATTTTCACGAAATTCGAACTCAGTTGTCCTTAGGGTCTAACGGTGATATAATAATACGTTTTTTTAAATCGGATAAAAATTATGACCTCTATAGGCTCCACAAGCTAAAATCGCGATTTTTCGTACAATCAGGGGCCATAATTCAGGAAGCTACGTTCCGATATGCGCGAATATCGAAAGGAACCGAGATCTGTGGGTTATAAACTTACATTTCAAGTTTCATCAAAATAGGATTAAAATTGTGACCTCTATAGGGTCCACAACCTTGATATACCATATTTTTACGCTATTTGAGAACGAGGGGCGACCATTTTGTCTGTCAGTTTTGGACCGATTTTCACGAAATTCGAACTCAGCCGTCCTTAGGGTGTAACGGTGATATATTAACACGGTTTTTTAAATCGGATAAAAATTATGACCTCTATAGGGTCCACAAGCTAAACACGCAATTTTTCGTACAATCAGGGGCCACAATTCAGGAAGTCACGGTCCGATATGCGCAAATATCGAAAGGAACCGTGATCTTTGGGTTATAAACTTACATTTCAAGTTTCAACAAAATACGCTATTTGAGAACGAACGGCAGCCATTCTGTCTGTTAGTTTTGGGCCGATTTTCACGAAATTCGAACTCAGCCATCCTTAGGGTGTAACGGTGATATAATAATACATTTTTTTAAATCGGATAAAAACTATGACCTCTATACGATCCACAAGCTAAAAACGCGATTTTTCGTACAATCAGGGGCCACAATTCAGGAAGTTACGTTCCGATATACGCGAATATCGAAAGGAACCGAGATCTTTGGGTTATAATCATACATTTCAAGTTTCAACAAAATCGGATAAAAATTGTGAGATCTTTGGGTTATAATCATACATTTCAAGTTTAATCTAAATCGGATAAAAATTGTGACCTCTGCAGTGTTCACAAGATAAAAACGTGATTTTTCGTACAATCAGGGGCCATAATCCATGAAGTTACAGTCCGATACATGCCAATATCGAAACGAACCGAGATCTTAGGGTGATAAACCTACATTTCAAGTTTCATTGAAATCGGATAAAAATTGTGACCGGTAGACTGTTCACAAACAATTGTGGACGGATGTCCGGACGGACGGACGGGGGCGACGACAATATACGTCCACATGAGATAGAGGAGATTGTGTCCCCTACTCCTCTACCAAATGGTGGAAATCCACCCAAAACAAATAAGATGAAGGAAAGTTCTGATAAAGACGTTCTTCGAAATGTAAATACCTTCCGTAGTAGGAAGGGTGACGAGGATCCTGTCCTATTCGTTAACAGGTTCGGGATTCAGGACAATCTTATTGATGTTGTTGTTGAAGTACATGACCCCAAACAACACCAAAGAAGTCCAGTTAAACCTCCCTGAAAATGGCTAATTCCACTATTCAATGGAATTATGTTAGAGCACACGGTGGTGTTTCCATTGTCCTTAATGGGAATATTCCGCAGAGTAAAGTCGCCCTCAACTCGCCTTTACAGGCAGTTGCAGTTAGGATGACTCTACATATTCCTATCACAATCTGCTCTGTATATTTAGCACCAATTTTGCATCCGAACCCTAGAGATCTTGGTGACCTTGTTGCACATCTTCCTCTCCCATTTATTATTACGGGAGATTTCAATGGTCATCATTCACTCTGGGGTAGTCCAGACGATAACAACAAAGGTAAACAAATAGCGGACTTCATTAACATTAATAATTTGTGTTTGTTAAATAATGACTCGCCTACTTATCTACATCCTGCCACAGCTTTTTTTTCTTCCCTTGATCTCACCATTTGCTCCCCGGTACTGTTTCGGGATTTTACATGGAAAGTGAATGAAGATCTGTGTGGCAATGATCATTTTCCGTTCTTGATAGAAAATAATGGACCCTCTCCGGTTGACCGATCGCAGAGGTGGAAGTTGCATAAGTCTGATTGGGCTCTTTTTGAATCTTTGTGTCTCTTCTGTTTTGACGCAAAGGAGCTAGAAAGATGCAGATGATACCATGGCCTTATTCACTTCAATTCTTCAAGATGTAGCTGATCAGGCGATTCCAAAGACCACGACTGAGCCCAAACCTTTCAATAAACCATGGTATAATAACGATTGCAAATCCGTTCTGAAAGAGCGTGATCGTATTTTAAGACGCCTTTGTTTAAACAATATTTTATTTCATTAGTGAATCACA